GGTGATGTTGGTACTTTCCTGTCCATGGGGAGGTAGAGTCCCCACTCAGCTCTTAGAGACCACGGCCACTTCCTGGCCACTCTGGGCCAGTGCCATTCTCCTGAGAGGCTGGAGCCTGGGACTGCTGCACAGGCTCTAACTTGTTCTGACCAGGCAGATGTTAAAGGAGGACCAAGTGGAGTGGCTTCAAGGTCACTACCATATGTCCTCACAGCACAGGTCAGCTGCTGATCCCCTCCCTGCTCTGCCAGATCCCTATGAAGTCACCTTGAGGCCACGGGTGGGGTGGCAGGTACAGACACCCTTTCCAAATTTGCATGCTGAAGCTGCATTTTGCCAACGTCACCTTGGGCTGAAGATGTAGAAATGCTGCTTCTGCTCTGGAGAGCTTGCCACTCACTACTCCAAGCAGAGCTGGTCCACCACGTTGCACACGGGCTCTTTCAGTTGTTCCTCCCGGGGCCTCTGCCAGGTGCCCCTCGATGGGTGGGAGGGGGTGGGCTGGGGCAGGATGTCTCAGGCACAATGTGAATATAGGTTTCTGCTGATGGAGGATTGCCCCCTGTTTTTCCGGCAGTGACGACCTCTCGCAGAGGATCCCCTTCATCCCTCTCCGGAAGAGGAGAAGAGGACACACAGGAAGAAGCGCCTGGTGCAGAGCCCCTACTTCGTGGACGTGAAATGCCCAGGAGGCTATAAAATCCCCACCGTCTTCAGCCAGCACAAGCGGTAGTTTTGTGTGTTGGCTGTTCCACTGTCCTCTGTCAGCCCACAGGAGGAAAAGCGAGGCTTATGGGAGGATGCAGAGAGAAGCAGCAGTAAAAGTACCCTGAATCCAGATGAGTGGGGAACCATCCAATGAACGCATTTTGGATTAAAAAAAAGGGATTGCCCCTGCCCCCCAACTCCCTCAGCCAGGACAGATGTGCCCTGGGGGGCCTACCCACCTCTCCTCCTAACACCAGGCGTTGGTACAGTAGGGGCTGAAGCCAGGGCCTGTGGCTCACAGCATTTCCTCTCAGACTTCTTAACAAGCCTTCATCACACCCCTAACGTTCAGGTCAAACTGACATGCTTGACCCCCCTAAGAACACCAGCTGTCACAGGGATCCGCATTCCCAGCTCCCCAAAGGGGACCAGCCCTGGCCAGGTAGATGGGTAGATGATGAATGTCCCGGTCCAAAATGTGACCCTTTGGCATGTGGATTATTTTGAGCTGAAGGCCTTCAAGACCTAGCAGACTTGGGGGGAAAAACTTTTTACCTCCTCAACTGCCTGAAAGAATTTAGACCTGGGGCGTGTTATCAGCAAGACAGCCATTAACAGAGATAGCATTCTTTTATCTGAAACAAATCTGCAAGGCAGAAAAAAGAGGGCAGGAGGAGGGTTGAAGGAAGAAGGAGAAAGAGAGAAAAGTGGAGAAAGGAGATACCAGCAACTAGACCAGGACTATTCCGCTTTCCAAATCAGTACTTTTCTGTCATTCTTTCTACCAAGTTCTGCTTGAGTGAACATGAGAAGCAAATTGTTTCAGGAATCCTAGTTTCATGTCTTGTGCCTTGTGCTGTGGGGGTGAAGGAGGGACAGCACAGGGCTCCAGAGAATCAGCCAGAGAGCAGACCCCAAGTCTTCCCACAGGCGCAGAGTCCGACACAGGCACTGCCTTCCGGGTCTGCTGCCAAGAAGAGCTACCAGCAAAGAGTCCAGCCCTCGTTTTTATGCACCAGGTTCTGTGCTGAAATGGATACTTTTAAATATGCACAAATTTTAATCTACACAAATCTACACAAAGTTCTTTGTGCCTCCTTTTTATCATCTGAAGACAGGGATAAGAAGTGATAGGACTTATCTCGTGGGGTTGCTGTGAATACGTGCAGAGTGCTTAGTACGTGGTAGATAAGTAGTGAGAAAAGATCTCTGAAATCCCTGCCTCCTTGTCCACAATTTCTCTATCTGTACGTGCAAACACAGAGATGTTCATGAGCACTGAACACAGTCTTTGCCTGTCTTGTTCACCGACCGCTGCATTTCCACGCAGCTCTCTGAACAGGGACTGCTGCACAGCCGGTTGTTGGGGGATGAATAAGGAAACCCCTCTCTCCTTTCCTCTTCCCGTCCATTCATCCATCTCTTCCTCCATCTTCCTTCCCGCCTTCCCTCCTTCCATCCTAGAAAGGCAGTCAAGTATAGTAGCTTAACTCAAAGGTTTTGTTTTCAATTGTGGTAAAATAGACGTAATCTAAACTTACCACATTAACCATTGTAAGTGGACAGTTCAGTGGCCTCAGGTACATTCACTGTTGTGCAACCGTCACCGCCACCCACCTCCGGACTTTCTCATCTCCCTGAACAGGAAGTCTGTGCCCATCAAGTAATAACTCCCTGTTCTCTCCTCCCCCAGACCCAAACGACCGCAGTTCTATGCTCTGCCTCTCTGAATCCGACTGCTCTAGCTACCTTATACAAGTGGAACCCTATAGTAGGTGTCCTTTTTGTGACTTAGCCCACAAGTTTGGGAGTCACAAAAGCTCTGTGATCCTGAGAAACTTAACCTTCCTGAGCCTCCACTTTCTCATCTGTAAAATGACTATGATAATAGTACCTACATCATAAGGCTGTTGTAGGGTTTAAATGAGATTAAAAAAAAAAAGAAACCCTAGTTTCACTTTTTATCTTTATTGAAAACCAGAGAAATCAGAAAAGGCCCTTTTGTCTTGCAATATTTTCTAGGTCATGGACAGAGAAAAGGAAGAAATATTCTTGGTATATGGCCTTTGTTTTTAAGGTCTTTGTAGTTTCCTGTTAATTTAGTACCTGAACCTTTGCCATGTAAATAATGCAGGTAAAGATAAACTTCCCTGGCCCTGGACTCTGACCTTTGCCTAACACCCACCCCAGCACTGGAAAGTTTAGAATCACAGACCTGCAAATTGGAGCCAGAGAATAATAAAGAGACAGAGCCTGTGGGTTTTAGACGAGCCTCATAAGAGAGGACAAAAATGACAGCGCCTCTGAAAGTTCCTCCCTCGTTAGCTGCTCTGCCTTCCTTCCTTCCTCAAACAGGTGACTTCGACTGGGTCAAGTCCCTTTCCATTCACCTCGCAGGACGGCCACCAGCTATGTCACCCTCTCAACTCACGGCCACCCAGCCTGTGAGTTGCTGGCCCTGCCCTGCCTGCACCATTGCCTTAGGCAAGCCTCCAGTGAGTTAAGTTTTCAGCCTCCGGCGAGTTAACCCTTCTCCCTCACTGTTGCCGAGTTCACCTGTCGTCCAGTCGCGGTGCTTCCTTTAACTGTGGTTTCAAGGAGAGGCTCTGTGTGGTGAAACTCTGTACCCTTTAAATGCCCGATAGTTCAGCTAGAAATCAAAACCCAAGTTCAAAGGTCTTTCTCTTCAATTCTTTGAAAATAGTATTCAATTCTTTTCTTAAGTCCAGTGTTGCTGTTAAGAAATCTCAAGTCAGTCTGATTATTTTGTTCCTTCCTCGGCCTCTGCCATCCAGCTGCCTGGAATACAGATGCGATACTCCGTGAATACAGGCTGAGTGACTGACCCACTGAGCTGGTGCTGCAGCACAACCCCAATGCCAGCTCAGGGCTTCCTGTTTCAATGCTTGGGCTTTTCCCACCCAAGCTTCCGCATCTCCGCCCTGGGCAAACTCGGCAGACAATATGGTAAGAGGCCGTATCGACCAGACCCCAACAAGGATACAGGGTCCTTCCCCCAAACACTGGCTAAAACAACTGCTGGATGATCAGACCTAGGGCAGGGCTGCTCCTGCACCTTTGAATCCTCACTGCTTGCACATAGTAGGTGCTCACAAAAACATTTGTTTTATCGAATGGACGTGCAAACTCTCCAACAAGAGATGGTTCAGCAGAGTTTTAGGGGGCAGGACACAGGGTAACCAGAGAGCAGACTGGGGGTTATATATGCTAAAGGTGAGAGCTGAGTGCTCACGTGTTCTGGGCCTACAGGGCCTTTGGTCTACACTGTCCAACCAAGAGGAATTAGAGAGCCTGGACCATCGCTGTCCAAGGACGCAGCCACTGACCACATGCAGCCATTTACACGTGAATAAAACACAAAGCTCAGTTCCTCAGGCGCACGGGCCAGATTCCCGGTGCTCAGTAACAGCCACGCGTGGCTGGTGGCTACTGCATGTGACAGTACAGATAATATAAACACTTCCACCCACAGAATGTCCTATTGGACAAAACCCACCTGGACCCTTAGCATTAAGGGGAATGCAGCCCCACTTCTGGCCTGGCCTACTGACACCCTGCTGTCCCCTTCCTTCCCCAGCAGAGATCAGAGCACCTTAGGGTCCCAGGTCTGCCCCCAGCCTCTCCGCCCCACAGGGAGCAGCACCCTCTGCCTTCTTGGTGTACCCTCCAGTGCCAAGGGTAGAGCCCTTCCGGTAATAAGTATTTGTTGAAACATAATAAGCCCTTAATTTGTTTTTGTTAAATGCTGAAGGCCCCAAACCCATGTTAAGGGACAGAAGTAACAGAAGAAATCCCTGCCTCCTCACTTCCCTCACTGCCTTCTCCAGTGCCCACAGTCAGGGGCACTGACTCTAAAGTTCCTCTCCCCGAACCACGCAGACAACCGCGCAGGCTTCTCAGACATCTGCGCCAGGTCTCAAAACGACCTGATTTGTGAGGTGTATTTGTTCACATGATAATTTTCTGTCTTCCTCCCCCTTTTGCTGCCCTACACCTAGTAGGTGCTCAGTAAGTAATGGATGGATGGATGGATGGACGGATGGATGGGTGGATGGGGGAACGCAGAGCTCAGACAACAACCTCCCCCCCCCACCACCACACACACACAAGCACTGCGGAAGCTGCCTCCCTTAGAGGGCTGGGGAAGAAAACCCCTGCCGCCCCTCCCAGCTACCCGCTGGAGCTCGGAGAGCCCGGCTTGCACGCCTGGGGTCTGGCCCCACGCAGCCCTCGGGGGCGTGTCCTCCCTGGGCCGGGCGCCACCGCCAGGACAGTCCAGCCGCTGGGGCTGAAGTGCGGCGGCTGGGCTGCGGCGGCTGCAGAGGACTAGCCTCGGAGAGCATGAACCGCGAGCTGGAGGCGCTGGCGGCCCAGCCCGCGCTCCCGGGGGAGCCTCCCTTTCAAGCGCTGGTGGAGGCGGCGGGCGGACGTGGGCAGGTGTTGCTGGTGGGCGAGCTGTGGGAGCGTGAGCAGAGCCGCGCACTGCTGCGGGACTTCGCCCGGGCCGTGTTCCCGACGGAGCAAGCCGCGGGCAAGCCGGGCAATGTGGCGGCCCAGGGAGCTGGGCCCGGCGCGCCGGGGGCTCAGTTGACACTGGGGACGGCTAGGGCGCGTGCTATCCACTCGCCGCTGGTCTTCGTGCTGTGCCGCGAGTCCTCGCTGGCCGCCAGGAAGCCGCGGCGCCGCCTGCGGGAGATGCTGAGGGATGTGCGTGACCGGCGGGCGGCCGGCGCGGCGCTGGTCGGGGTGCTGGTGGCCGAGGCCGGGCCGGAGGACGCGGTGGCACCGGTGTTGCGGCGCCTGGAGGCTCTGCTACGCACGGTGTTCGGCAGTCAGGTGGGGGGCCCGGTGCAGGCTGCCGTCTACACCCCCAGCCACCCAGCCTCCAGCCTGGCAGTCCAGGCAGCTGCTAGCAGGGCCCTGCAAGAGGCCGGTCCCGCGCGACCAGGTGAGGGGGCTCGAGGCCCGGGAGGGCGGGCGGGGGTGGCGGGGGTGTGGGGCGGGAAGGCCCCCAGGTTGCAACTCTTAAGCCCCCCCCTTCATGGTGCACCGAGGCAAACGGGCCCTGAAAGGGGAGGTGCCTAGTATTGAGCCTCCCAGCTAGCTTGGAGTAGGCCCAGGGCCAGAGGTTGAGTCTGTCCAGTGAGGATCCCAAATGCGTGGGAGACAGGGGCTTAGGAAAGCCGAGGGGACGAGCAACAGAGTTGGACTCGGCGGGTCAAAGATCTGGGAGCTGGGGGGAGTTGGGAAGGGGGAGGAGATGGGAAAGACTTGGGTTGTGCAAGTTTCAAAGCGGAATCAGGACCGAACTGAGACTGGAGGGAGCAGTTTAGCGGTGCCTGAAGCTCCCAGGACGCCGCGCAGCAGGGGATGCGACGGTGGAGGATGCCCCAGTGTGTGAGCGCTGCCGGCTCCTAGGAAGAAAGGAGGGGATAGAGGCCGGGACTTGGAGGTGTGGGGCAAGGGTGTGAGCCACTGGCTGAGGGCACAGAATGTTCTAGTGCCTCTTGGCTACCCACCCTGGTCGCGCAGCCCCTGCTGTGTCTCCCTCCCTTCTCTTCACACTCTGCCGAAGTGCGGGGAGGAGAGTGAGGGTCTTTTTCTGCTGCCGTGGTCAGAGGGGTCAGAATCTCCTTAACCCCGGCGCACAAGGTTTTTCCAGGAGCTTTTCGGTGTCCTCGGATTAAAATACGGCATGAAGTTTGGCGGGTCTGGCAAAGCTGGGAGATGCGGAGCGTGCTTTATTCAACACTCCCTGCTCCCCCCTCCCTCTGCCAACCTGCTCTTCTCCACGCCCTCCAGCCTTTCTCTCCAGCCTGTGCCGGGCCAAGCCTTCCTGTGAAGCCAGAGGCTGTGCTTTGCTTCCCCAGGCACTGCTGTGTTAATCAACCCAGAGATGCCACCCTTGCAGGGAGGCCTTTTCCAGCAAGGAGCAGCGTTGGTGCCTCCGATGTCACGGACATACCTGCCAGCCTGGCCTGCCTGGGGAAAGGCCGTCCTCAGCGGTAGAGCCTGCCCTAGCCCCGCCGCCCCCTCCCCACTGGGGCTCACAACCCCTTTCCACCCTCTCTGTGAGGGCGCCGGCTAAATTTGAACGTCCAACCCTGCCTGCTGAAAGACACAGGGCATGTCCTGAGATGGACTGTCACTCTGACTGTTGATGCCAGGGGGCTCGCTGACCTGGCCCCTTGGGGGACAATTTTCTACCCCACGCACGGGTGGTGCTTAGAAAATTCTCTGAGCCCTTAGTGTCTTAACTCTTTCCCATTCCCAAGGAATTGCTTTTAATTCCCCAGAGCCAAGCTTGCTCTGACCTTCTAAGCTTTTGTACACACGTGGCAGTTGCCTGGAGTGAAAAGCTTTTTCTTTCATTCTGCCTCTTCACCTGACCAATCACATCGTACCATTCAGAGCTGGACTTCCTCCTCCAGGAAGCCTTCCCTGACCCTCCCCCCCTTACTCCTTTGCAAGTTCAAAAGCGAAATCCCCAAACCCTCCTCTGCTCTCTGATCTCTTACCACATGATTTTGTCACTTTCCCTCGTGAGTTGAATCACGACTATGTTCCCATTTCCCCGCATCTGCCTGGCATGTGGAATCCTTATTTAGAGACTAACACAAGAAACTTTTACACTTGGCCTATGACTCAATCTCTACTGCGTTAAACTCATTTCTACTTTTATTCTTTAAAAAATACTAAACAATATGAAACCTCCCCTTAATGACTAAAGGCCACGAGTGTAATCATAACTGGTTGTCCACTAACCTCTTCCGGCTTCTGCAGTGGGCAACACCGCCCACCCGTCCACACTGCTAAGGTTTTGCTCGCAGCTGCGTCTGGCTTTTTAAAGTCTCCCAACCTCCTTGCTCGTTGCCTCACGGTTGTTCCCACACTTTTAGGTTGCCTGCCTCTGGGCATGCCCGCTTACCCAGTTTGTGCCTAGTCCAGCTGCCTTTGGGTTGAAAAACTAAGAATCCGGTCTTGTTAGAACTGGGTGCAAATGAGGAGTAAATAAGCCCCAAGTAAAGAAAAACAAACAAGGCTTTCTGTGTTTGGCTGCCTGGAGTCTTTTTCTTTTTAACTCTGTTGCAATTACCTTACTCCAGGATGGTTGGGGCTCTTAGGAAACTAGAATCAACATATGAGTGTTTTGTGGGTGATTATCAAAGGAAGATTAAGTATTTATGTTAAGAAATAGTTTGAACTAATACTCGGGGAAGTTACTGCTCCCTCAGTTTTTTGTGGTTTTTTTTTTAGTGTTTTCTTTAGTGCTGTGTAATTGTAATTCATTTCACATCGCTCTCTCACTGTCCTTTCCCCAACGTGGTACCTACACCACAGGGTTTTTATAAGGATAACATGGCGTGATCTGTATACACATATAAAGCAATCCTTTTCTTCTTGTTCTTTTTTTAAAAGATTTTATTTATTTATCTTTAGAGGGCAAGGGAAGCAGAGAGGGAGAGAAATATCAATGTATGGTCGCCTCTCGTGCATCCCCTGCTGGGAACTGGCCTGCAACCCAGGCACGTGCCCTGACTGGGAATTGAACCGCGGTTGTTTGGTTCGCAGGCCCTCACTCGATCAGTCCACTGAGCTATACCAGCCAGGGCTTGTTCTTTTTTTTTAAGCACAGAAACTCCACCCCCTTCTGCAAATCAGAATCTTTGTTTTTCATCGGGCAGCTGAAACCAGGGCAGTTGACGGTCGAAGCCCTTGGTTTGCTGAACGGAAAACCTCTCCGTGGTGTCGAGCACCATCTGACCTGCGGTCTCGGACACTTTGTGTTCCTTCCAGTGGCAGGAGCCTGGGAGAGACCCGGCCTCCCTGCGCTGCTGGCGTGCTTCTCCTGGGGTCCCTGGAGCCGGAGGAAGGACCCATATGCTGCCTCCCCCAGTGGCCCAGCTCAGGGTGAGTGTGTTGGGTTCCTGGCCTCCTGGCCTCTGAGAGCTGGGTGCTTGGGATTATGGAAGTGGTCACATCACAGGGACCTCAGGGAGAGAGGGGCCCGACACCCACGAGCACTGGCCGTGTGTGCGAGCAGTGTGCGGTGCCCCTGCCACCGGCAGCCAGCACACAGGCTCGCTCAGCGGGGCTCTAGCCCAGGAGCCTCCACCTAGGGAAGGCTGTGTGGCTGTCACTCAGGTGTAGGCCATGTGGGCCTGAGGCACGCAGAGCCAGATGCATGGTCTCATAGAGCAAGTGACATTTGAGTGGGTGTTCAGAGATTTTCTCAGGCAGAAATGGGAAGATCTGAGGAGGGGGCACCGTGAACAAAGGCTTGACAGCAGCATAATGTTGTTGCTCAGAGAGGGGACCACTGTCGAGAGTGGCAGGGGTGAGATGCAGAAGGAGACTGGTGAGGGCTGAGGCTGAAGCGGAGAGTTGGGACCGAGTGGGGACCCCGGACCTGAGTCTCAGGAATAGTGAGCCCCTGGCAGTCTCTGAGCAAGGGTGTGGAGACTGCGGGTGTGTTTAGAGATGTGACTGGACTTGAGGGACAGAGCCACCAGAAGCAGAGCCCAGCTAGGAGGGGACTGCATAGTCCCAGGAGGGACATCCAGTGGCCTGGACCCAAGGGGAATGTGTTATTGGAGTGGAGAAGAAGGAGCCCGCCAGCCCGGGAGCCATTTCTGGGGTAGAACCCTCAGGCTGCTAAGTGGGGGCGAAGGAGAAGGGAGAGGGAGAGGCAGCGGGCCGCGGAGGCACGCTGAGGCTGTGCTGCGGCCCACTCGTTTGCTGCCTCACACGAGGATTCGCCCCAGGAGTGCGCGGTCAGGCGATCTCCTCCCGCGTGAACATCCTAGGGCGCACGCACACCACCGGCGGGTCTAGCCCGCTGCTCACCGAGGCAGGGTGGGGCCGCCTGTTGCTCCCGGGCCTCGAGACTGGACAGCACTTTTGTGTACAAGACAACGTGAGATTAAATCAAGCACCAGAGCAAATGGTGCAAACAGAAAGAGTATCGTCTAAATCAGGGGTGTCAAACTCATCTTCACCAGGGGCCACATCAGCCTCGAGGTTGCCTTCAAAGGGCCAGAATAATTTTAGGACTGTATAAATGTAACTGCTCCTTGACAGTTAGGGAGTTGGAATTACATTTGGCCCTTTGAAGGCAACCACAAGGCTGATGTGGCCCCTGGTGAAGATGAGTTTGACACCCCTGGTCTAAAATGATAAAAAGTACAGTAAATGTGTAAACCGGTAACATAGTCAATGTTACCATTGTGAAGCATTATGTACTGTGTGTTCTTGAATGCACTGCCCCTTTGCATGACTGGCAGCCAGTAGGTGTGTTCCCACCCACTTCCGCACCAGGCCCCGGGGACTTTTCAGCTCCGTTATACTCTCCCGGGACCACCATCCACATGCAGTCCATCCCTGACCCAAATGTCATTCTGGGCGCATGACTGTCCTCAGGGGAGCAGGTTGTAACCAGTGGAATGTGTATGACCACGCCCCCAAAGTGTACTGGACAGCATAACTTTTAAATAGAAACATTGGGTAGTGCTGTAAAATGAACTTCCATGGTGTCTCTTTTATTTAAAAAAAATCATTAGTTGATGTCATCAGTCTTCTATTGCTGAGTAACAAGTTAGCACCAATTTAGCAGCTTAAAGCAGCACCCATCTGTTCCCTCACCCTTTCTGAGGGTCAGGCGTCTGGGCCCAGCTAAGCCAGGCCTTCTGTTCATGGCCTCGGAGGCCTCGGGCTGGGACGGGCTGCATTTCTCTCTGGGGCCTGGACCCTCCCTCAAGCTCACGCGGTTGTTGGCAGAATTCGTTCATTTGCCACTGAAGGACTGAGGTCCCTGCCTTCTCTCTGGCTGTCACCTCCGAGAGGCCCCGCAGTTCCCTCCTCTAGCTGCTCCTGCAGTCGGTGGGGACTCTCCAGGCTCCTATAGGAACAATCGCAGCAGCGGCTCTCCGTCACCTTTGTCATGTGCCCAGATCAAGGGAGGGACTATCCTGTCACATGCCTGGCTGTCACCCCCCACTCAAGGGAGGGGATTATGCAGGATGAGAACCCCAGCGGGTGGGAATTTTTGAGGCCTTCTTAGAATTCTACCCATCACAGTTGAAAATTCAGCAACTACAAATGAAGGAACACAAATATTAAAAAATTACTCACCTACTTCCATCACTCAGTGGTTAATACAAACCCATATTCGAGATAGACCATTCTGGCCCTCTATCTGTGTACCTGTATCTTCTTGTACTATTTAAATTTTAATAAATTTACTTCTATATTGTGTATGAATCATCTGCATCAGATAGTTAAAATTCTTAATTGCAAAAATGTTAACTGCAACCTCTCCGTCATCATTAATTTGGATGTATCTGCAAACTAAAGGAAAATAAATCAAAGGAATAAAATAATAGTATGTAAATCTTAACTCTCCTTTGTAGCATTTACACATTGCTTAATCCCCTGTAGAACTGAATGTACTGAAATGCAAATTGCATTAGTAGACTATACATATGCATTTATAACATGGAGAATAATATGGAATCATACATACCAACATTTCTACATACGTTTTTGGAATGTGCTTCCTTCATCGATAGAGTATTGTGACTGTGCAGTGTCCCACGGCAATAATTACATGTCAACAGCACCTTTTATCCTTTTCTTTAGGTGATTATAGATTCACACACACTTCAAGAAATCGTACAAAGAGATCCTGCATACACTTCACCCAGTTTTCCCCAGTGGTCACATCTTGCAAAACTATAGGATAATATCACAGCCTGGATACTGACATTGAAACAATCCACAGATCTTGCTCAGATTCCCCCAGTTTTACTGATACGTGTGTGTGTGCGCGTTTAGTTCCATGGAACTCTAGACATTTTCAGTGCCTGATCCCACGGTGTGGGCGAGCCAGTTCATGCATCCGATCCCTCCGTGGGACTTCAAATCGGTTAGGATGCAACTGGTTTCAGGGAAAGAAACCGTGACTCAAACTAGCACAAGCAGCGAGGGCTTCGTTATCTCACCTGAAAGAAGGTGGATTCGGCGTCAGGGCTGGGTGACCCAGGGGCCCCGGCAGGGACTCGGGTTCTTTTCTTCTCTCTGCGGGGCCATCCTTCTGTTGTCCCATCCTTCTCTAGTAGCAGGACGGCTGCAGCATTTCCACTGATTACGTTTAATGATTTCCTTGAGATAAAATCCTAGACATGGAATCGCTGGGTCAAAGGGTATGTATATTTTTAAGGCTTTTGATATATATTTTGTTGTCGTTTAAGTAGAGGTCCCTGGAGGCCGTTTTTTCCCTTCCGATCCTAGCTTACTTGCTGAGAAACTCCATCTTCTGATCAGGGGGTCCCCTCTTGTGTTCCAGGGAACTCCCAGGAACCCGAGGAGGAGCTGGCACTGACAGTCATACTTCCCAACGGAGACTGCGAGGATCCCGGAAAGCCGTCGGGGGCCTGCCATGGAGCTGTCCACACTCCCCCCTCTCCTCCCGAGCCTGCTGGGGACTCAAGATGAAGGCTGCACCCCTGGGCTGCCCCAGCTCTGACCTGCAGGCTGGAGGCTGGCTCCTCATCGCTGAGTCCTCAGGCCTGTCCGTGTTGACACTGGGGTGGCCGTCGCTAGGAAGACCCCACCTTTGGGGGACTGCCGCTTGGTCAGATTCCCAGTAATGCAGCGGGACTTAGGAAGCAAAGCTGGACCTACGAAAACAGACCATCTGACAATTTGCCACCCACGTCATATTTGGTCACGCCGGTCCGAGTGAGGTGGCTTCTTCTCTCTCTCTGTGCTGCTGAGATGGAGGGCGGTCCACTTGGAGGCCCTGTGGTGCTGTGGCGCCCGCGATTGCATGCATGGACATCCATCATTTCAGGTGTGACTGGAAAAAAACCCGGACCAGAAGTCATCAGACTGAGGGCAGAGGGGCTTGGACTGGTCACTCAACCAGTGGCCAGACTACCCCGCCCAGGCAGCCCTAGGAGTGTGTGTGTGTGTGTGTGTGTGTGTGTGTGTGTTGGTGGGGTCACTGGGACTGTGGCAGGCCCCTGGCATTTAGCAGGCATCTCACATTATGTGGGACAAACTCCAGCAGCACAGAACTGTTCTGCTCAAAATGCCCATCATGGCATCTTGGAGAAATTCTGAATCAGTCCATCTCTTCCCCCCGTCAAATCCTAGGAAGAGTCCCCCAGAGCAGAGAGGGTTGGGCTTCCTGGGACTCCTGAGCAAGCTGGAATAAAGACCCCACTGCCACCCGGGCGGAGGGGCCAGAGTCGGGCTGCTCGGTGTGCTGATGGCCTGGAGCAGAAATAGCCTTACACACCTGTGAGAAGAAAGGGCTCTCTTTCTTCCTCATGGTGACAGTGACTTTCTGGGCCAAGTCCTGGAGAATAAGGATGCTGGGAACTGTCCACAGCACCAAACAGAAGGGAAGGTAGGTTATGGATTGACACCATAGGGCATAAGGCTTGCTCTCAACCTTAGGTCCTAACCCAAGGTCAAAGCCGACCCAGCCCGAAGGTGCTGAGTGCCTGAATCCTTCTGTTCTCTGTCTGTGAGTCAGACAAGGTCAGTGATGTTCCCTTAAAAGCCAGCAAGGCCATCTGTTCTCTCAGAGGGAATTCTTCATTACCCCCTGTCTCTTCCTCACCTGCCTCTGGAGAAAGCCAGTCTTTGGAATGGCAAGGATAGCTCTTGACCTTCCCGAGCAGAAAGTGCTATCCAAGGGAAGCAGCTAAATGCATTCATTCATGCATGATTCATTCAGCAGCCTGCCCGCTGCCACGTACCCTCCTTGAGCTGTTTCCGCTCTCTCTGTGACGGTGCCAAAATGGGGAATGGGAAAACTCCTGTGGCTGGGGGGTGAGGTTAAAGAGGACCCCTTCACGCCCTATGCCTCCGTTTTTCCTCCACAACCGGGGGCCTGATCCCTGTCCGAGTGAGGGCAGGCAGGACGCCACCTCGTCTGCGGCGGCTTGGCAGCATGTGCCATTTTGGCCTTGCAAAGCCATCTCACCGGTGGAAGGGCCCAGCTGGCTTCCTTCTGCACAAGAATGAACGCAATGAATTACTGCTGATTTTGGTTTTAGGGGGACTGGTATCATCGAAGCTGCTATATATTTTTTCTATTTTTCCATGAATTTCTTCATAATGATTTGATTAGAATTTTATTATTTGGTGGGAGGAGGGAGCTTTTCTTAAGTTAGAAAATTGTCTAAGCCAGAAGTCACAGGGCAGCAGCCTCTCCTGCATTTAAAAACTTAGGAGTTCGTTGTCGATATTGGGAACCTAGGAGATTGCACGTAAAAAAAAAGCTTGGTTTCTGGGATAAGGATGGGGCGTGCCGTCAGCTCCACTTTGCTGTAGTGCCCCCCACACGTGGGCCCCTCTCCCCATGCCCACCCCCCTCCCACTGCACTTCACTTAGAAATGACCTCTGCCGGGTCCCGGTCCTGGTGGGCATTTGAGTGCCAAGCCTCTGGCATAAAGGGTGGTTTACACATTTCCCCATTACCTTCAGTGTTTCCTGTGAATGGTGGAAGAGAGAAGGTCTTCCTTGATAAACCTTAAACCTTGATAAGGTTTAAGTTCTGCCCCCAATTGATAGAGATGGGTCTGAGGTCCATCCCGGCCCATCCCGGCTGCCGTGAGACATGGCCAAAACACTCACAAGGCTCTTTTCTAGAAGGCAGAAGAGTTAAGTGCTGGGAGGGACCTTGGTGGTGGGTCTCCCCTCCAAGGACGATTACCAGGTCTGAAAGCTGGTGGCGGGCCTGTCCGAGGGCAGACACCCGGGTGAGGTGAGTGGTGCCAGCAGCCGTGGGTGTGGGGCCTCCAGTCAGGTCGTGGCCCCAGGCTCATGGGCACTAATCTTTCTAACGTGGCAGTTGTATTGCATCTGACTCGGTAATTCCTTAGGTCTAATAAAGCCAGGCAGCACTTCGCTGCTGTCTGAGCAAAAACGGAATGGATCTTCCCCTTTCTTCCCTGGAGGCGGTCCTCTCGGGAGCCCCCGGGAGCCGGGTGTCTGGACAGATGGTGGGAACCTCTGAAATAGTTTGTCCTGAAAGTCCCCCAGTCCTGCCCTGACTGACATCTCTCCACAACTTTATTGGCTGGGGTTAGAAAGTAAATATATAGATTGTTGAAGAGATAGGATTTAGCTTGGTGTTTAATGGGAGGTGTGTGTGGGTGTGTGCACACACTCCTGTTGAACGAGATAAAGTAGCCCTAACGGGGTCTCAGAGAGCCTTGTATAATGTATGTGCCGCAGTTTCTCTCCTCTCAGCACCAACTGCACTTGTCTTGTCTCTCAGACCAACTGCACATGGGAGGTTCCTGGGTTGTCAAGCCCAAACCATGGCTGAGGGGCCCAGGGCTGAAACCCCCAATTGTGACCTCAACAAACCCCTCCTACCCCAGACAGGGAGCCAGGACCCAGCGTCACTGGGAAAGGTGGGCGACAGCTGCATTGACTTGGATTAGCAGGCGGTACTCTGGGCGCAGCAGAACCACGCTGCGGCCTGGCTCCCGGGCCTGGCTCCTGGGCATGCAGAGGCCTGTGCTTTGTCCTGTTTGGGCAGCAAACACAGCCAGTGCAATGGAGGAAGCCAGTTGTTCGTACCCAAGAGCAGCATCACTCCTCCTGACCTGGTTTTGTGTTTTAGTGAATCAGGCACTGAGGTGGACATGGAATTTGGCCTGGACAGCCTGCCCCTAGTACAACCTTGGAGTGGAAGGGAAATGGCGTACGAAGTAGGGTAAACAGCCAGGGTCCTGTAGGAGTCCCTCAGATGCCTTTGGCCCCTGAGTCTGCGCACTCTGGTTGCATTATGTGTGGGCTGCCTAGTTGGGAGCAGAGACAGAGCCTTCCCCATGGGACAATGCCATGAGTCGCAGGGGCCAGGTGAGCTGGCTCAAGTCCAAACCCAGGCTGGGCACTGGAGCCACTGCGGATCCAGGTGGGGGGACACCCTGTCTGGCTTCCTCCACGTTGGTCCTCTTTAACATCACTCCCCAGCCCCAGCCAGGGCGCCTGCTGGACATGCAGATCCAGCCTGTTTGTCCCTTGACAGGTGAAACTCAGAGGCCCTCAGGCCACAGTTCAGACTGTGAGTCCTGTGTCAGCCTTGCTGCTGTCCTGCACTGCAGCGTGCTTGGAGGAACTAGGCGCCTGGCTTAGTCCTTGCGACCGAGCCCTCACTTTGAGTCCTGGTGGTAGAAACCGGGGCTCCGTCTTGTCGCCATGGGCTCCTTCTCTCTTTTACTGGCTACCGAGCTCTTCTCAGAGCAGGTGCTGCCTCGGCTCATTACCCCAACCACAGACTCCTCTCGGCCCGACCACCTACCACCCCAGGGACACTGCCCGCTCCAGCAGTCCTGGCTGCCGGGACAGCCACTCCCAGTCCCTTGCTCTCTGACGGGAGTGGGTCTCAGCCTCTGTGCCCGGTCTGGTCTGGGCATGTGCCAGCACCAACGAGAAGGCAGGACAGAGAAGCAGGCCAAGGGCCGGGCCTGAGTGGGAGGTCAGAGGGGACAAGACGTCGGGTGGGTCTAGACCGGCCCTGCCCAGGAGAAATGTAGCATCAGGCACCTGTAGCTTTAGATATTCCAGTAACCATGCTGGAAAAACAAAAAAACAGGTGAAATTAATTTTAATAATATATTTATTTAGCTCAATATGTCCAATATAATATCATTTCATCTGTAAATATTTTAAAAATTTAATGAGACATTTGTATCTCAGAAATCCTGTGAGAATTTGCACCTACAGCCCAATTCAGAGATTCGCTGTTTATCCAAAAATACTTGGTATGTCCTTACATTTTTGTTAAATTTACAGCTAAATTCACATCCTCAATTTGTTTCAAACATACTTAAAAGTTTTCCTGTAGCTTAATCGGGTATCAGTCTTTAGCTTGCAATGAGATAAAACTAAATTTAAAATGATTTCCTGGGTTGCATTAGCCTCATTTCAAGTGCTCCATGGCGCCCATGGCTAGAGGCAAAGGGGCGGGACGGTGACCTGCCTTGGGGGTTCACTGTGGCTCCTCCAACCCCTGGCCACTTACCCAGAGCCTGCTGGTCATCCCAGACCCTGGACAAGGGGACAACAGTGGTTCCCAGGATCAACTCGTTCAGGGCAACCTTTCGGTCGAGGAGTTAGTTCCCTTCCTGGACACCATCCTCAGAGGGAGCAAAGCCCGCGCCTCTGATGGCTTTCCAGGGCTCTTTGTGCCTCAGTGCACCCGGCCAGTTCCAGCCTTGGCCAGGCGTTTCCCTCGCACGCAGCACTCACCCACGGGAGGAAGGCCCATGTCACTGGGAGACTGCACTTCACACTTCTGCTCCCAAGGATAAATGCTTTTACTCTAAAAGCATGTGGCATGCGTGAGTGCTGTACGTGAAGCAAGCACCAGCCTCGGGGCCAGTCCCGGTGACAAAAGCTCTGAGGTTTAGTGAGCACTGCTCTATGCCAGACCCTGGAAGAGAGCACATCCCCTCCCAGCGCTCTTGCCATGTAGGTGGGCCCGCCCCCTCTGTGGCCGGGCTCCGGTCATCACACAGCCACAGGGCTGCTATGCGGCAGAGCAGGGATTTCATCTGTGTCTGCTGGCTGCAACGCCCGCTCTTTCCACCTCATCACGCTGTAGCTCAAAAACCAAACAAGCCCAGTTCCTGGCAGTTGGTCTGAGCCTTCCTAAGATCCAGGATTTAAATGCCAAGAGGCTAGGAGTTTGGCTGGGCGTGGGATGGGGTGAACTTCCCTAGTTCCTTGCCTTCTGCTGAGCATTATGCCCACTAGAGGGCGCCGCGCGGAGATCCGGAGATGCTCTGGCAAAGCGTAGTAGTGAATCCTGTCCTAGGTGGGCGCACAAAGTGCGCCTGCTGGCGGTTCCCTCCCTTCACCCTCGCACAGGCCCCGGCCAAGCCCAAACCTGTGAGAGCCCACAGCTGTCCTCCTCTGGGCTCTAAGACGTTTTGTGTCACTCCTAAAATTAGAGGGATGTAGTTGTGCATAAACAGAGCACTTGGTAAGAATTCTTCCCTGTGATTTTACTACGTCCTAAATCTTCTCTGAAAATAAATAGAGCTTGTTCTAGAGCACAGGTGGCAAACACAAGGGCACGCAGAATCCCCCTCTTCACCTTGTTTTATCCAGCCTGACACCTTGTTTCTGCCCTGGCGTCAGCGCCGAGCTCCTTGCCCCTAGTTAAGGGGTAGTTACATCTATACAGCCCTAAAATTACATTCGGCCCTTTGAAGGCAACCACGAGGCTGATGTGGCCTCCAGTGAAAATGAGTCTGACACTCCTGCTCTAGAGTCTTGGAGAGGGCCAGAGTTTCGGAGACATAGGTCTGAGTTCTAGCCTTGTGTCAATAACTATCTGACCCTTTGTTCATCCATTCGTCCAACAAATATTTACTGGGCACTTACCACGTGCTTGACACTGCAAGTTACTATAGGGACACTGAGATGAGTAAGATGCGGCTGTGCCCTTGAGTACTTCCTTGTTCAGTTGGGACACAGGCAAAGAGACATAACTATAGCTGTAGTAGGGAAAAGGCTGTAAGGGGAAACGTTGTGGAGTAGTCAAGGAAGGCTTCCTGGAGGAGGTGCTGCTTTAGTGGGACCCAAGACAAGTCATGTTCGACAGAGGTGAGAAGGAAAAAGCCTCCAAGAGCAGGCACCAAGGTCAGAGTCAAGGTACATAGCCTCATGGCTGCTCTGGGAGTCACAATGGTTCTGGATGGCTGGAGGGTGTCATGACAGGTCAGAGGGGTGAGGCATAAAGATGGAGGGTAAGCAGGGTTGGGTGAAAGCCCTGGAGGAGCTTGGAGGAGAGAGTCCTTCTCTTCCTTATTTCCGGTAGTGCTCCGGTAGTGCCAGCCAGGCTGCGAGATAGTAGAGAAGAAGTAGTCAAGGCTGTTGGAAGCTCTTGCACCTAGGAAGGAACAGGGGGAGGTGACCAATGAGCAAAGGAGTGACATGGGAACTGGGCTGGTGTGAGAGATAATAAGGAGACCAGATCTGTTGTTGACCAAGTCAAGGATGCTCCCTGGGTCCTGCTTCAGCGGCTAATGGATGTCCTTCACCACACTGAGATCAAGGCAGGAGGCATGTGGGAAGGGCTGGGAGGCATGGATAAGCGTGTGCAGCTTTGAGGTCGTTAAGGAGCATCAAGCAGAGATGTCTGGCAGGTGTGAGTCTAGTGCTCCGGAGAGAGGGCAAGGCTGCAGGGATACATTTGAGGAGCCACCACCTTATCCATTGCAATTGAAAGCATCACCCTCTCGTAGGGAGAGCAAGGAGTGAGAAGACAGCTGTGGACAGAAACACACAAGAAGGAGCAGAACAGAGCCAAGATGGGGCTGAGGGTTTCAAAGAGCAGCGGCAGTGGTCAGAATTTAGTTTGGAAAGATAGCTCCGATTACAGAGTGCAGAATAGGATGGAGAGGCAGAAGGCACAGGCGGGGCAGCCATCCAGGCAGGAGAGCAGCTTCCCTATGTCTCCATTGCAATTCACCATCCTGCGGAGCTATCGTGTCTGCTTGCTCATTTCCATTACCTGTTAGCGTTTGTGATTCCTCTAGGAGTCTGGGGAACACGAGCGTCTGTGCCAGGGATTGGCCCAAGTGCCTCTGTAAAATGATACTTCCAAATATTCAATCTACTCAAAGGGGAGTACCTTTCAACCCAAGCTATTGGGTCTTCAAAGGTGTTTAATAATTATATTTAATATATTTTAACAACCATAGCTTAAGAATACTGGCTTTTTAAAAATTCACACGTACCTTCAAATGTGTTATCAACCAAGTTTTGATTCAACCACGAAACGTTGGCTTGTGCCAGTAGGTTACAGTGTTTTGAGAAATAAGCTTCAGTAATTGCTGCCCAATTAAAGTGAAAGGTGAGTGGCTTAAAAATACCATCATTTGCTACCAATATTTGTCAATGCTTTCTTAGTACTATTGAGGTAAATTGGCTAGTGAGGCCGGTGTAACACTCACTGCACACCACGAGCACCACTGCCATTTCAAATTTCTGAAGACATATTAAAAATCAAGAACCTGAAGAGAGGAGCCAGGCAGATGGAAGGCAAAAATGAAAGACTTGTTCTCTCCTTTGTAACACTTTTCAAAAAAGTGTATAACTTTTTATAGTTAAAATTTTTCAAACCATGTAAATGTACAGTATTAACTATTCCAAATGGAAATGCAAATTACTATTGTTCAATTTTATAACAAATAATAGTTTCCTTATTATAATAAAGGGATTTCTATGAGAATTTCTTTTGAAGACGGGCTCTGCTTTTTAAATTCTTTTTGATGAACACCTTTTGAAGAATACGTTCTTTGCCACGTCCTTAATCCCCAAAGGCTAGGCTGGAAGGGAGCTACAGTGAGACCTCCCACGCAGCAGGTGACGCTGCAGGCACAGCTCGCACTTCCCCTCAACTCCCTTTTTTCAGCAAAGGCGGGTGACGTGCGGATGGGGGGCCTCTTTCTAGGGGTGGCTATTCTGAAGCCTGATCCCCGGTGCAGAAGAGTGTCCCTCCAAGCCGTAGGAGTTCTGACCTCGATGAGGGTTAGAGAAAACCGTAGAGTTCTCTGTGTATCCTTCAGCTCGGGCCAGGGCGGCGGTGGCGGCGCGGAAGACGTAGACCCGGGGAGAACTGGTGCTGGGCGGCAGGCGGGTCGGTGGGCAGCCCCGAGTCGGGCAGGGTCCTGGGCGAGAAGTGAGCCGGCGGTCCGAGAAGGCGACTGACTGAGCAGCGCACCAGGGCAGTGAGGAGGCACGGCAGAGCCAGCGGGTCCTAAGCTGACAGATACACTGCGGCGCCGGGCGACGAGAGACCCGGCGGGCGAATGCAAGGCGCAACCATGATCACTTCAGCCGGTGAGAGTGACCGCAGCGAGCTCCAAAAGGGAGGAGCCGCTACGCCGGCTTTTAGCTGAGTCAGGGCCGGTGACTGGGCACCTCCCGGCGGAGCGCCGGCCTAGGCGGCCGCTCGCCGCCCATGGCCCCCTCGGGAGCCGGGGGTCGGCAGTGTGGCCGGGTCTGTCTGCGGGTCCCGCGACCCCCTCGGGCTCGGGGAAATGGCTTCAGGTCCCCCCTCTGGGCATCCGTCCCGCCACACCCCCGTGCTCCGATCCGAGGGGCTTCCTGGGCCCTTCTCCGACCCGGAGAGTTTCCTTTGATTGTAATCCCCCCGAAGTGGGCCGCGTGGGGCCGGCTGATCCCAGTCCTTACTAGCAGGTGGTTGGGACGGGACGACCCCCCTCCCCTGTGTGGCCGGACAGTGAAGGCGGTCTGGCTACTCTGCAAATTCTCGTGGACCTGCTTCAGCTCCATTCTCCCTGGAGTGAAACCTGGAATTCGACTAGAGGCGGGTCGGTTCTGGGTCTCCTGCCAGGGTGTTCGGTTAAGCAGCAGGGAAACTTTGTGTGCGGTGAAGGCGGCATGACACTGAGCAGCAGGCGGGCTCCGGTGTTTGAGGCCAGGTACTCAGTGGATAGTATCCCGCGGTGAAGGAAGAACGCGCGGGTGTGCCGAGCAGGTTTCGTGCCCTTGCCTGGCCATCGTGTCCGTGGGTTCGTGCGATGACGCTCGGCACAGGGTAAACCATAGCAATCAAGTTTAAGTGGCGACTTTTAAACGCCTTCGCCTCCCGTTGATTGGCTTAGAGCTGTCCACAGCCGTGGTGCTTTTTTCGTTGCCTGCCTGCGTACCCTTTTCTCGTCCCGTTTCACTCTGCACTTGGCCCACAGATACTGTGTGGTAGGCAGCTGGTGGTCAGAAGACAGTAAGTTGTACTGGGGAGGAGCTCTAAACCCCATTTTTATGAGGACTGTGTAAAGAAACTGGTGGCGATGCAGGGAGACGTGAGTCATTTGAAGAGCTGTCACCTGTCCCTGGAATTCGACGTTTGCTTCGGAAAAAAGAGATTTAGGTGATTG